CTTCCCCTGGTCTTGTTCAAAAATCCGCGAATCGACGACACCCGTCTTCTGATCTTTCATTCTTCTTCTTCCTCCTCCTCCTCCTCTTCCTCTTCCTCCTCTTCCTCCTCCACTCCCTCCTCCCCTTCCTCCTCTTCATCCCCATCGGAGGGAGTGTCTGTCAAAGGCTTCCCCCTGTGCCCATCCTCTACCCGCTCCCGCCGCACCTGGTGAAACGGCCTTTAAGCCTGTCTTTTTCGTTTCCGGGGGGCATGTCCGTACTGTTTTTGCGGTTCACTGCTGCTTGTAATCGTGCCGGCGCGATGGTCTAACGCCCCCCGAGGCCCCCAAATGAAATGATGTATGATTGAGAATGGAGTGACGGGTGCACATTTGCCTCACATTGCTTTCCTTTCGGTGCACAAGGACGTTTGCATTTTTTTAGCCCCTTCTGACCGCGCTCAACAATCCGTGCTACCTGCCTCCCGATCCTCCTCGCTCCCCACCCCCTCGCCACCTTCATTCACAGCAATGCTCAACACCCTGATCCTACGAGAGACAGCTCCAGGTTTACCCAACACCCCAACAAGCAAGTCAGGCAACACGTTGACGTTTCCCCTCCGGACTCGCTTCTTTCTGTGCGAGTCGGCTCTCGCAGGGACAATTGCCGCCACTCTTTAATTACCTTCCTTGTACTCACCTTTCTTATAATTGCCTAAGTCCACCCACGACATTAAGCTGCTTCCTATCCCTCCACGTTCGCTTGACGTACGGTGGGGGCGGCCGCAAATGGAATTAAAGGTGGCGCCGAAGAAGAGGAAACCAAATGATACGATGCAGGAGAAGCGGAGGTAGAGAGGTCAAGCGCCTGTAAAGGGCCAAATTTGCGGTACGATGGGCACAAAAAATATGTCTGGTCCATAATACACCCAAAATGTGTAAGGAGTAAATAAAGAACATAAAAGGGAGTGACGACGCGTTTTACAAGGGGGAAAAAGGAGCATGGCCGCGGCCGTGCCGCTTCGATCGGGAGGCTTTTCACTGCCTGTCTCGTATTCCCCGTTTCGCCTTCAAAAAACATTCATGCCCACTTCAAGGCAGTATTCACACAAGTTCTTGCCTTTTTACACCGACACAGACAAGGAGCAATGACTTGGTACGTTCCTTCGCGGGTTTTTAGGTGCTTTGACTTGAAGGCAAGCAAGCGGAGGAAGCGTCAGAAAGTCCTGAGGAAGGAGGGAGGGACGCTGTCCTCTCCTGAAACCTCGGAAAAAACCAAAAAAAGGTGCCCTTTTTGTGAGGGTTGCATCAGTGAAACACAATGGTTTGATAAAGAGCGCACGTGAATATTTGAACCACAGGGTGTCCTTGCGAAATCAGGGCGTTTGGACTCTTTGTGTGACACCAAAGGTCAACTTCCCAAAGAGAAAGCTTCGCTTTAGGCGGAAGGCAGGTTATGGCAGCAATAGCATTTTTTCGCTTCATACGACGCAGCTATAAGGTTTAGGTTGACGTTCATACCCTCGAAAAACATGTCAACGTCTTCAAGAGTGATGAGCCGCTGGGATGTGATTTATGAAAAGGGTGCCGTGCGAAACGACACGAGAGGTTCTTTTCCGGCACTTTTTTCCCGTGCTCCTCTCGGCCCATGCTGTCTGTCTGTCACTGCTAACTTCACACACCCAAGCCACACGACTTCTGTCGGGGGCGCCCTCCACTCGGTTCTTATCCTTTGATCCGCTTCTCATGCTACATGAACATTTGTTGTACATGCTACATGAACATTTGTTGTACATTTCTGAACCCCCAATCCACGGTGAGTAGCCTTCAGGCATTATTTGTTACTGCAGCAGACAGCATTGGCCCATATTATTGGCCGTCATCAGGCACTCGCTGCAACTACCACGAGTGCTGTCGAGCATGATTTTTCCCCTTCCTCTATTGATCTATACTGACCGCAATTTAAAATAAAAAGATTCCATGAGCGCGTGATTGGATTTTTTTTGCCTCTTTTCGGAAGCCGTGGAGCCGACCACCCTTGCTGTGTGATGACCTTTGGAGCAAATTATGCCTTGAATTCCAAGTCTTCGAGTAACTCTGACGCACGCCTCCCATCCTCTCCACGAAAGATAGATACATGATCAAGATTTGTGCAGTGCCTATCTCAGTATCTCCCTCACCCAGCATTCCCACGCACGTTCCCACTAGAAACACCAAACAGGGATGCATGCTTTTTCCCTCTTGAACCTACCCGGGATTCTCCTCCTCCTAGTCTCCCTTCTCGCCCCTCCCACAAGCCCGTTCCCCGTCCCTCCTCCTCCCTCCACCCAACCTGCCTCGTCTTTCCAGTCCGGTTTCGTCCCGGTGACCCAGAATTCCTCCCTCTTCTACTGGTACTGCCCTCCCTCCCGCCCTCCTTCGCGGCCTTCCTCGCCCCCCCC